ATCTCTGCTACCATCGATTAGTTTTGCCTATTCTTGAATTTCATACAAATGAAATCATAAAATCATGTCTGAGTTCTACATAGCCTTTTGAAATTGTTTTGTTAATAACATTGTAAAATGTACATGGAAAAACAGCTTTGGTCCTGTTAAGAAGGTTCTAGCAAATATCCAAACTATAAGAACCACAGATGCTGAAGAGACTTAGCTGGGTTAAGATGATGAGACAGAGGAGAGCGATTCATTTGCAGTGAGGAAGAGTCAGTGGAATGTGTGCACCATCAATGTGGGCACCAGAAGCCTTGACAAGGCTACCCCCTTCGGCAAGAATATGGTGCTGACACACGGAATTCCTCTCCCTGTTCTGAGGCCTGTTTTTGCAGGGGCTGCTGAGAACCTAGTTCCTGGCAGGGCAGGCTGGGCCTGCCCTTGCAGAAACTGGGAGCTTGTTCTCCCAGCTTAGGATGGCTGGTGGGTCTGGGAGACCCCAAGTGGTGACTCACACCTGTCCTCCCAGTGAAAAGCCCAAGCCAAGAGCAGACATGAGTGGCCAGGCAATGTGGCCTCACCTGGGAACTTACCCATAGCAAGTCCTACCCTCCCTCACAGTACCACAATCACTCCCCTCCCCCACTTCATGCTCTAAACTCACACACAGTTCATTTCTCTTTTACATTTTTCATCTGGAGAGCATCCTGAATTGTTAAAAGAGTACCAGCCTCCTGTGACCCCAGGTCATGTGACTCCCCCCCCCCCCAACCTAGGATAGGTTAAGGGCTGGCTCTAGTGTCAGACTGCCTTGGTTTAAGTCCCTGTCCCATGACCTTGCTGCTGTCTAACCTGGAACCAGTGGCTTAACTTCTTTAAACCTCAGTGTCCCTGTGTATAAAGTGGGGTAATAACAGTTCCCATCTCTTGAAAGTATTGCGAGGCCTTGAAGTACTAATTCATATATGGCACTTAGCACAGTATCTGGAACATACTGAGCACTCCATAGATGATTATTATTGTTGTTAGCAGTAGTAGTTGCAGAACCAAACAAAGTTTCCAAAAGAACTAACCAGACCTCCTTTCTTAATAGCTGTAACTCCCAGTGTTAACACCACAGCCACCCTCCCTGGACCAACCACACCATCCAGTAGAACTAATACAACCTCCGCAACCTCCGCAATGTCACCAGCACAAATATTGCCCCTCCAGAGGATGAGGAAAAACCTAAGGGACATCTGAGGCCATGGGAGATCACCCTAATCACTCTGGCCTTTGTTGCAACAGCTGTGATTTTTTTCACTGGTCTCTTCTGTTTTGTGAGTGCCTGGTATGGAGGAAACCCTTTTTCTGAGGGAAAGAAGGCCGGACGGTGAGGAAGGAACTAGGGTGGAGAACACAGGTTCACTGGGGTAATGGAATGAGAAAGAGGAGAGGGTTACAAAACAGAAACAGCAGGCTGGAACCAGCAAGACAGAGGGTCAGAAAAGTCAAGACCTGTTCAGAGGAAATTGATGAGGGGAAGAAGGGAGCCAAAAGAAGTAATGGGGAGGAGGGGTGCTGGCAGCAGGGGCGTGGCGATGCTTGGGCCTGGAGAGCCCTGGAAGAAGGAGGCGAAACTCTGAAACTATTTGTACTTTTGTTTTTTAGAGAAACTCTCTGTGCCAAAAATACCTCTTCAACACAGATTTCTACCATCCCCATGCCCAAATCCTAGCTCATTTCCTCGAGGCTGTTGTGGAGTCCCAGACAAGTCGAGGCTGTTATGGAGTTCCAGAGGAAACCAGTCTCTTCCAGCAGCCATGGAGCGACTGGGAGACACAGTGGCCCTGCGTGTTCCTGGAGGCAGAAGCATCACGGGAAAGGAGAGAGGGAGGGAGCTGTCCTGGGGGGCCAGGAACCTGAGTTTCTCCCACTTGCCTCCAGGGCTGCTCCTCTCAGCTGTTTCAGCCTCTTAGCAGTTCTCCCTCCCACTTGGTTTTCCCAGACCAGAAAAAGGGGTCTGTAGCTGTGACAGAATTAAATAAATGCATCTAATATATGTGGGAGCCAGGTCTGTGGATGTGTGTTTATATATTCCTGTGGATACAGGTTCCCTGTATCCTAAAGACCTCTCTTCCCTGTGTTCTCCCAGCTCTCAAATCCCTAGAGTGAAATCCAGAGACTTTAGATCTCTCCCAAGTACTTCTACATCCTGTCCCCAGTCCCTTGAAGCCCCTGGGCTAATGGAAAAATGAAATTAGGGAAGATGGGGGAAGGCAGGTGCTGGAATTCACAGTTTGTTAAACAGAATTTCATTACTCCTGTTACCACACTTTACAATATATCTGAATAGATAACATCTCTCTCTTTTTTTTTAAAGATTTTATTGGGGAATTGGGGGAAGGGGAACAGACAACTTGCTGTTGTTTTTGTTCTTCAGTCTAGTTGTGGAGGACGTTGCTTCACTGGCCCCAGTTGGCACCATCATTGCACTCTTCCCAGGTGAGGCAGATCAGTCGCCGACTTCTGGACGGCCACTCATGGCAGCTGCTGGCCGCTTACGCTGGCTGCTGGCTACATACGGTAGCCCATGGCAACCCACTGCCACAGGGGCTGCAGCCTACGCCGTCGCCGGGGACTCACAGCAGCCCAGCTCCAGGTTGAGCTGTTGTTCAGCATCTTAGCTGTGGAGGGCAGTGTCACTGGCCCTCATATGTGGGATCCAAACCGGGGCCCTCTGGCGTCCCAAGCCAGCTCTTAACCAACGCGCCACTTGGCCAGCCCAGAGTAGACAACATCTTAACATGTACCAAAATTAACAGTTTTTTACACACCATTTAGGCCCTAACAAGAATTTCTATGAGACAGGGGAAACATGAAACTCTGCTCTGGGTATACGATGCCTAATCATATAGGGCTAGAGAAGAAAAAGGCGGGTGGTTGTAAAAGGGGAGTTAGAAAAGTGTAACTAGCCTGATGCTCTGACCACAGAGGTATTCTCAGACAAGTCAGTTTTAGGCAAAAATATTGGGTTGCCAGAAAAGTCATGACGTATTTTTCTATGTTTTTCATTGCAAAAATGTGTCATGACTTTTCCGACAACCCAATAGATATATGGAAACTGAAGATCTGAAAAATGATTCCTGTAAAAGGTCCCACACCTGCATAATATTCTTTAGAAAGTCTTCATGCGCCGCCAAGAGCATGGGACAGGCTCCTTCGGAGTTCACTGTGCTGGGCCAGCAGTGCCAAAACACAAGGTCTGGGAGGGGCAACACTCCCTCCTGGCCACTTCCTGGACTTCTGCGTGGGTCAGGCATGCTTGGTGAGCTGGGGCTTTGTCGGGTTAAAACACCATGTTCATGTGAGTGTATGTCATGATGAAAGTTGAGTAACGATGGTGTTTAACTCTATAAACGCCTCTAGTTTCTGGGAGTAGCGAGATATTCACAAAATAACTGTGTGAATTAACCACAAGATAAATTGCTCACCTTGGTTTCCTCCCTTTTCATCTCCCTTTATCTCCAAGCATTCATTGCTTTGAGTCACTGTGTATCTTTGGAAACCAAAATTTTTATCACAATTTTTATGCCTGGTAGTAATATTTTAATAACTTTATTGAAATATAATTTATATACTGTATAGTTTGTTTAAAGTAGATAAGTCAATGGTTTTTAGTATATTCAGAGTTGTAATTAGTGAACCCTTTCAATCTGCAGACTCAAATCTTTCTTCTTTATTCTTTTACTTCCTCCCATCCATCTCTTCCTTTCTTTGTTTTGAACCTATTACTCACATGTTAGTGCTCCTGAGTTTATCCTCCAAATGTCTCCCATTTTCTAGGTGGCTTTCATCTCTGGATTATTGTGTCTAATTGAGCTATTTCTCCAATTTACTCTTCCAGGTTACTAATAGTCTCAACAGTGGCCAGTGTCTTTCATTTTGTCTATTACATTTTTAAATGTAAAAACGCGTGTTTTACAATTTTAATTATCTAAATGAGTGCCCTTGTCTTATCTCATTCATTTTCATGTTTTTCACATTATGCTCCCCACAGTTCTACCAGTGGAGGGCACCTTTTCAGGGAGTTCAACTCAGCTTCTCCTTGTTTGCTGGATCCCTTTAAGATGATGATGATTAGCCTGCTTATGGGTTAGATGACCTCATGAATCAGTTTCAACTGTGGGTTTTGAGAAACCCAGTGAGTGTTGGAAAGCAAAGCAGTTTCCACTGCTGCAATTTGGGGTGAACTCACCAACAAATTGCTAATTCTCCCCTGAGGGCTCTGTCCCAGGTACAAGCCCTCTCACTGACTCATGGAATCTGGAGCAATTCAACTTTCCAAAGCCGCTCCCTCTGTCCCCCAAGACCTGTAGGATCAGGTAGACTTCTCCCCTGAACCCATGCAAGGGATATGTACAACCCTTCTAGGAGAGGAATTCATGAGAATCTCGGGCTTTACCCCAGGTGTCTCTGCCATGAGCCTCTTTAATGGTTAGACCTTAGCCAGAAAGGTTACAGCCGGAAAAACCTCTCCCTAGTATAACAGGAAGCGCTTTCTCTCTGCTTCCAAGCACTCTGAGAGAGAAAAGTGCCAATTAGTCATTCTGACAAGTATCACAGGTCTGGAGCAAATGTAAATGCCCTGAAAACTGTGACTGAGTGAACACACTTTGGCCCACAGCACATGTAACTGCACTTCTTCACCTCCTCAGGCTTTGGGTTGTCAGTGTGCCGCATGTCATCTCTGTGTACCACAGGCCTATTCAGTGAGTCCGTAGAATCCTGGCACGTGCCCTCCCTTCTCACTTTTGCCAACTCAATTCCCCTGTCAACCTAATCGAGTGTCAGGATCCTGGGGTCCTGTTTGGGCAAGAAGAGTTAGAAAATGGGGACAGATATGAATCAGGTCTCTGGATTTTACTGTGGAGATTTTGATTGCCAGGTGGATTTCAGCATGGAGGTTCTCTCATATAAGCGAATTCACCTTGGCACTGTAGCCACCCACTTATGTGCACACACAGGTTCTGTCATATATTTCAATGTGTTTATTTCTTCGCTAAATGATCAATAGATTGTCCTCTTTCCAATGTCTGGTAAAAGCAAGAGAGAGGGAGGAAGCATCTTCCCCAAGGCTGTCATGGACCCAAACAAAGTTTGGAGGGGACTTTTGGGGATGAAAGAATGGACACTGCGATCTCCAATCCCCCAGGTCAGCTTTCTCTATGAAGAATGTGACACTGGCTTCAGTGGCCGGTCAGGGCCCGTTGTATCTCCCTCTCATCTCCATGGCAATTGAGGATACTGGTCTCTTCCAACACTAGTTAGAGCTCCACCTAGGCCTGTGGTGGGCTCCGTGATTCCCTCCAGGGCCCCAGGCCAATATGGGAGCAATGGGGGTGGTAGACAGTTGTGTCAAAGACTTCTCTCAGACACAGGGAGTTTCTCTAGAAAAATAAGAGTGAACAGTTTCAGAATTGTATTGTATCCCCCCTCCCAAATCTTCACCATGGACTCCTGGAATCTTCTCCCCCTTCAAACCATCTCCTTCACCTAGTACTCTTTCCCTCTTTAGGCCCCCTTTTCCCTCAAGGCAGTAGTTTCCTCTGCACATTGATTGGCTCTTCTGGTTCTAGCTGGCTATTTCTCTTTAGTAACTCTCTCCTGATCTTTCTTCCCTCCCTACTCACCCACAACTTGGTTCCTCTATTATTCATACCCCATTTCCTTATGTTCCTGCTACTCCCTCCCCCCAGGCACTTTCCTACATATTAGGCACTCACCACACAGAAGAAGAGCCCAACAAAGAATCCCACGGCCACTACAGCTGAGACCAGAGTGATAAGGAAGATTTCCCATGGCTTCAGGAACCCACTGGGCTTCCCTCCAGTTGTTGAATTGAAGGTTGTGCTGGTTCCACTAAAGGTCACACTGGACCCAGTGCTGGAGGCTATGCTGGTCCCACTAGGGGTTGTGCTAGAGCCAGTGTTGG